TTAAATTTAAATAACAGAATTTTAAATTTAAATTACGAGCATTTAAATTTAAAATAAGGGAATTTAAATTTAAAGAAAGAACATTTAAATTTAAAATACAAAAATTCAAATTTAAAATATGAGCAGTTGAATTTAAAATACGAGAATTTAAATTTAAAATACGTGCAGTTGAATTTAAATTACGAGCATTTAAATTTAAAATAAGGGAATTTAAATTTAAAATATAAGTATTCAAATTTAAAATATGAGCAGTTGAATTTAAAGTAGGAGCATTTAAATTTAAAATACGAGAATTTCAATTTAAAATATGAACAGTTGAATTTAAATTACGAGCATTTAAATTAACAATACGAGAATTTGAATTGAAAATATTATAAATGAACGTAAAATCTTCATTCAGATTATTCCTATTTCAAAACCGCAGGGTTGAACTTGAACATATGAGATTTGAGCATAGCGAATTAAACGTAACACTGGTGGCGCTCTTCTGAACATAATATGCAAATGAGCATGAAAGTAACCGTGATGGGTTACTGTGTTAGCTGATTGTACGGTGCCCAATATGCCACTGAAGGGGCAGTCAATTTGATTCAATACACATTCGTCCTACAAGTTTATTTTTTCCACATCGAAAGACTCTTGAATCTCGAGTGACTGTCGGTTGGACCATTTTATATGACAATGCGCTGACACAATACAGTATGGGGTATATGATTCGATCGACACTTATGGACGACGTTTCTTCACAGTGAATACCTGTGACTGAAATTAATGTCCCATACCAATGTATGCCCGAGAGGGGTAATTATCTCTTCGCGTTGGTGAAAATAAAAACGTACATGCCCGGTGGTGTAGTAACAGTTTATTCTTGGATGCTTTATAATGGAACTGTGTTTTAGTGCTGCAGTAAGAATTTCTGATGTCTTAGATTCACACTTGTGATTTGATGTGCGTGGAATGGGGATATATTAAACTGATGTGTATTTAACTTTCTTGAAGGAAGGAAGGTTCAAACACTGATGTCGTGATGCTTGTAATTTTCAGTTTTGCGTTGGATAACTTAATTTGTTTTAATAAAATGATATCGCATCCATCAGAATATCGATATTATACTATCGTCTAATACAACGATTTACCACGCTTTAGAAAAAGCTTTGTTAGAAATATTTTGAAAACCACCCTGGCATTTGTAAAATGCACTCTAATGTCGGTACTAGACAGGATTATACGGTACTGTTACCAATATTAAACAGTATCCGTCGGGAGTTTCAAAATAAAAGGCTCTTAGAAACAACATCTACCTAGTATCGTCATATCACTACCACCGTCTAGTATCAAGCAGCCTTTTACATTGCATTTGGTCTGTAGTTTGTATCAGGGATTTTAACATCAAAGCCCCTTTGGAAACGGCACTACAAATTCACTCGGGCCTTGTCGGAAATATATGTGGAATAGTTTCTTGTTATTATTTATTATGCTACTGTACACCTCGTACATATCGCCTGAGCTTGAATGTAGCACAACGGGATAAGACCTTGAACGCCGTTCCATGTGCGAACGTGGGAGGCAACATCAAATATTTGTTGTTTACGAATCACATTGTGCTATATTTGTATCAAAGTTTCCTTCTCAAGTTCAGAATCTCCACAAGGTTGCAGTTATATAAGCACTCGAAAAATTTGACGCTGGGCTCTTCTATGTTATGTTCACTGCTGGACATCTGGTTATAAAGATATTATGTTCAAATATACAACTTCCAACAGAGCTTACTCTAAAAGACTATCTAAATTGGATACCAGTTTCATGATTGATATTGTTTCCCAATTCTGCCATCGCCTAAATAGTTCTAATGTTCAACTCCTTGAAAAGTAAATTGTAAAAATAAATCTGTCTATCGCACTGATGAGCAACAGAACCGTGGCTAGACCATTCGATACACACGTTAGCCACATTGAACTTGATTATGACAAACTGGATTTTTTAACAGTGTGAAGTAATTTTGGTGTAATGCAATGTAATGTTTTGTTATTCAGATTGTTATCTTTCCTATTCAATATTTGTCGATGTGTTGTCTCCTCATCGCTATGCTGATTTTGCCCCATGTTTCAATTTCCCCGAGTTCACACGTAGTTTCTCAAATTTTTCACGCAAATTCGCCTCTCCCACTCTGCTGCAGAGCTCAACTACACCGAGGTTAATTGGGTTTTACATGCATATAACGTGAGGCATATACGCTCCAACACGGAGGTGAAATCAGGCCGAGTGCGAAACATTCAACTCCGGCTTTTATATGCTTTCCCCCTTACAGTGCACAAATGCCTGACACTTTTAGCCGAACGATCGATGTTACACGATTCATCGTGTATGTCAGCTGCCTGCAAAAAGAGCAATATTGTCTGATAATACCGAAGAACATAAAACCATTTCTTGTTGGTATCAGTTCAAAGGTTTTATTTCCATATATTTTAAAGGTAGCGCCACCAACGTTCTATGCTCAAATGTGCTATATTCCAATACGCTGTGTTCAAACCATCGCAATAACTTGTTTGTTTCTTATTTTAAATTCAAATGCTCATATTTCTAAATTTTAATGCTCATATTTTAAACTTAAATGCTCACATTTTAAATTCAAAGTGATATATATCCATATGCTGTCATATGCTAATTTATCAAGTTATTGTCTTTCAGAAAGTGGTGAGGGTAACATAGCAGCAATATTTAACAGAGAAGGGCAAATTAGGAAAGAGATACAAGATTTAAAGTCAAATATGCGTTATTATATGCAGGCAACAAACCAGAAATTGAACTCCCTAGAGCAAAGAATGCAGAAACAAGAGACGCTTAGTCAGGAAAATCAAGGTATTGGTCAAAATTAGGGGTATAGCTTCCTCTTCTGTGTGATAACGATCACAAATTGAGTTAGTTCTACTCACTCCGTATAAAAGTAACATATAACACTATCGGCAAATTAAAATGCATAATACTCAGGTTAGCATTTCAGTGTGGGTTGATTCCGATTAAGTACACAACAGTTGGAATAGCAAACACCCTTGTCCTTTACATTTTGAGTATTGCTGTCTGTCCTTATCTAATCTATTATGTTTGTGCAAGAATGTATATGTGTGAAATTTTACCACAGCTATGTCACCAATAATACATATTATTGTACAATTGCAAGGTGCTGCCAAGAGAGATTCTGATGATTCCGGAACTGAAGATGGTGCGTATGGCCCGTGAATATGATGCAACGAGAATCATTCATGTAATATGTGATAACATTCTGACAAAAAAATAGGAGCACTATTTTTGTAGACCGAAGGATACTGTGTCACCCTAAAACATGTATGTAATATGTATACATGCTAATCGTATTCATGTTTTTTAATAAGATTTCCGAAACCTCTGACAAACGACGCACTA